TACCCCCACCATATTTGGCCATTCTGCCTCAGGCGACCGAGCAGCTAAGCGGTGGCCTGTTGCTGGCAGTGGGGGAGAGAGTGAGGTCGACCCTCAGCGCATTTCGTCCTCGCTATAGACAATATGATGCACTTGAAACTATCAAAGTGCGCTAAAAGCCGTAGATTGGAGGGTTACCAGCTGACAGGCTCATTGGCTCCTTCTTAATGTGGACTTTATGGCGCTCCCAGTCGGGAGCCTACCTAACGAGACGTGCTGTTGGTACGCATGTTGAGTGTTGGCCGCGCCAGCCGCCTGCGCCCCCTCATCTGCGGCCTTCTTGACGCTGTCTTGACACCGGATCCCGGTTTGGGAGTGGTCAGAGAGTGGGGTAAGTTCCACGCAAGTCTACCTTTACTCGTGGTTGACATTGTCGAGAGTGACTGCCCAACTGTTGTATTTTCCAATTTATTAATGTTGCCTATAAAGTATATAACGTGATTGATATCCACTGCAAAATGTTTTGTGGAATGTGACCTTTCTTTATACTGTACGGAAAAATTTACTTTTTCTTAGACAGAATCTATATGACAGGTAGTTTGGAAAACTTAAATTCAAATGCAAAGGCAAGTAGAGTTTAATTTTCTTCGGTAATTTTGAAACGTTCTCGAAATCAAAAGCTACCTTTTTCCAAATACAAAATTTGAAGAAAGTGTAATCTGCTACGGAAGGAGTACATGAAAGAATATAGTTGTGAATTTTATCCATAAGATATACTTTTTTATAACGGAATCGAAAATCAATGATAAAAATTCATTCAACTAAAGCGGCAATTTCTTACAGAATATACTTTTTGCCAGTGGTCAGAGAGAAGCTCCTCCAAAAGCGGCATCCTGACGCGACTGAAGTATCATGAGATAAGCCTGTACGATCACCAGTAGTTAAACTTTACTCAAGTTATTTGTTTGAATCAAAAATATGGCTCCGAATTTAAGGATAAGTTTCATGAGATAAGGAATATAGTATTTTTTCTGATAGAAAAAAAAATTCACAATTTCGGTTAACATTTACTATAGTTTTTGTGCATTGTCCTGCAACACGTACTGGTGAGGCTAGAAACTGCAATATCTGTTGTAGTTTTCAGCTCAGATTCGAAGGGCTCGAAATGTTTCCTTCAACTGCAACACTTGCATATAAGGGGAGTACATAATACCCCAAGGCGCATAGTTCCTGTCAACCCAAGAAAGATCGAATAGGTCGGCACCGCCAGCATACTTGTAATAGTTCAGGGGAGGGCGGCTGAGAGCAGCCAACTCCTTCTGACGGTATGCATTCCCAGACGAAGATCCAGACTGCAAGGTAGACGGTGACCCTCAAGTGACTGTTTAAAAAGACACAGGCATCAGGCCTGAGGGAAAATATATAGGCGTCTCTAGTTTTTTTGCTGTATTACGTCAGCCGCTTGATCCCCGGGATTCAAATAAAGTCACAAACTTACCCTTCGGGAAATTTGGAAGTGAAGCCAGCGACCTTCAGATTCTCACAGCCGGAAACGAAGAAGGTGATGAGGCAGGTGATGATGACAAAGTTGACGCACAGCACGAAAAGGATGGCACCTGGCGCGTTTTGAGAAAAAAGAGAGGATTACAAGGTTTGGCACTGAACAGAGTTCACAATAGGTATTAGGGGATGGGGAGGTATAGCAGAGCACAGCACGAAAAGGGGAATAACTTGACGAAAACTAGTGCAGCATCTGCACAATCAGATACGACAAAAGCATTTACCATACGGGAATGAAGTGTATGAGGCAAGACATAGAGCGCTAGATGCTGTGCAGGTCTACCAGATTCACGCGCGGTTCTCCGTCCTTATGTCTCCTCCTAGGCTGTACGGCACACAGTTGACATGAGCGCTCACGATAGTTGAATTGTTAGTCTCTTATCAATATGCGTGACAGACGTTTTTTGAAAATCAGAACTGTATCTTCAGTCTTCGTGTTTGCAGTTTGAGCTCGCTGAATCTCACCGCAGACCACGACTGCAGTCCACAGCAGTTTGGTTTAAGCGCACTGGACTTAAGCCTGTGAATGTTATAAAAGTCGATGTGCCGATGGTTCTGAGCAGAGGGGATTCGCAATTAAGTATTTCTTCTCATTACTCCAGAGTCCAAATATTTATGGAAAGTGCCTAAACGCCAATTGGCGCCTTAAGGTGGATAGAAGTAACACACACGTACGCGGTCACGCGCGATGGTATGCAAATTAGGAGGAGATAAAACGGGGTGTGGCCGGCAGATAAAACCAGGCCAGGGGACAGACAGACTCAGCCAATGTGGCTGACACAAGGTAATAGCGTTGGTTCACGTGATAACCAGCTGATAAGAAGGCAAACTAAATTATAGTGCACGACTCCACAGAAATCTCCCCGTCCCTGTGCTCTGAATTATTCGCATTTAAACCCTGTCTTTTCTAAAAGAACAAAAAGGTAGGAGAGTTCGCTTGAAATATTTAGACGTACACAGAAACTCCGGAGGAAACTTACAAGAATTTACAGTATACAGTTTTGACATAAACATGAATTTTTAGATCAAAGGCACCTGATCAGTGCAGAGAAAAAAAATAGTCCTACGAAAACTTTAGAGGGTGGTTTAAAAATAGCAGAATAGGAGGGCGTTTTCGTGACAAACGTCTGTCCTCATGAATTCTTTATCAGGTCACCGGTATTCTGCGGTAGAATTGTAATTGGGCCAGAAAGTATTGAGAGGGAGGGGGGAGTAATTAGTTAAGCTGCTCTCGGTATTTAGTCGTGAGGGAAACACAGAGCAGTCTGATGCTTAGCTGAGCGAGTGATGATAGAACTTTTGATACACGCTTGGCCTGCGATCGACTGGTCACATTTACTAGATGGTAGATGCGTCGGACCAATATGGGGGCTCGATAAGTGGCACGACAGACGTTGTTTGAAGCTTCCAAACACAAGACCACACGAAGGAGAAGTGATATGCTTAGGTGCAGACTCACACCACGCCAGCAATCTGCGCCCATTAGATGGCTGGCCAGCTCCGACAGCGGACTAGTGTCTAAGAGGAGTAGAAGTTAAGACGGCTTTATGACTGCGTCCCGCGAAACGAAGTATACATTTCTCAATGCAGATCATCTAGCGCTCTTTTATACTACTGCAGTATGCCGAAAGACGTGACTTAGAAGGCTTTCGGGTGATGGTATGACGCATTCCTTCACTCAGAGCGAGCTAGCATACTCCGTTGACTGGCAAAGGAACGTATGGTTTTGTTAACGACAGGGCCCCTTGGGCCTTAAATATACAAATTATCATTTTTATTATTATTATTGTTAATTCCTCGTATGAACACCTCACTTGTGCAGGTTTTTTTACACTTCACTAGGTTTCTCTGGAGGGGAACGCTACAGAAGAGAAAATGGCGAGTAGTGGCGATTCGACATAATAGGGGACACGGAAGATAGATGAAATCCCGGGCTATCCACATGGATCTGAAAGGCAAAACGGTAAGACGAGGGAATACGAACCCTACCCTGGTGGGGAGAGAGGGGAGACACAGGTGAACTCGCGAAAAAAGTTGCAGGAATCGCAAATATTCTCGTGTCCTAACCCTAACTCGATTTAATTCTGGCCCAAACCTTTCCATTAACAATAGTCTTTCTAG